GAAATCCTGATTGTTGCCATTCAGAACCCTAATTGCCTGTGACTGTCAAACATTGTGTAAAGTTGCTGCAGCCTGAGGAGGTAACAGATGTACCTGGCACTGTGGTTGATAATTTAATTTACTGAACTACAAAGCAAATTTCCATAGGTGTCAAAAGAACACAGGTACCTTGAGAAACTCTTAAGTTTGCATGCTGCAGACAAAACAAGCTAAATTTGGCAATTATGTACAGTTTTCTGTGTATTATTGCCAGATCTTCAGAAACACCAAAGGACTTGATTTTTTTTTTTCTTCCAGATTCAGTATCTAAGAAGAGTTTTGGTTGCAATTACTGGGATTCCTTCATTATGGGAGGTAAGCAAATATTGTCTGGCTCCTCATCTTTTTCTTCACTTAACAGTAATGTGGAGTGTTTGTGTGTCAGCCATGAAAAGATCCTTTTTGAATTCCTGCTATTTCTATGACAGTGCAGTATATCAGTAAACATCAGACAGAATCGGTCAGAATATTCCTAAATCTTAGACTCTGAGCTAAGGAAAGCAACATTAGGGAATAATTCAGGATAAATAAACAGGAATATTGACAGGCTTCCTCCAGGTGCACTGGGGTGTCTGTGTTTATACACTTTTGCTTACACCTGGTTTTGGCTGGAATTTGAAAAAACAACTTTGTTCCATCAGATTCCCAGCTTCAGCCGAGCCTGGCGCAGCGTGGTCCTGTCCCCCTTCCTCACAGGTAGGGCTGTAACTCCCTGCCCTGCCCCTGGAGTAACTTGGTTGTAGATTTACTACACCTTGTCCTCTTTCTTTCTTTCTTTCTCAGCCTCGTGTCCACCAAGTCCCAGGCAGCTGCAGGAGTGCAGGGAGTGCTTTGTGCTCCTGCTCAGGTGAGTTCCCAGCCCTGCTCCTGAACATTCTGTGCATGAGCCAGAGCTGCACTGCCTCTGCAGTGTAAAAAGCACTTTGTTTCCTTATTTCAGTCACCACAATGCTCTGACTTGCTGTAAGGACCCACCACTTGAGAGAGAGCCCAACTTGAACCAAAGTTAGTTGGGAAATAGAATAGGTTTGGGTTGGGTGGGACCCTAAAGATTATCTGGAGAGGGATCCTACACTACTCTGCAGACACATCTGTGCCAAAGCTCTGCTCTGGGCAGTGGCCAACAATGGGCCTCAAAATAGGTTGTTTAGAGAAACTGGAGGTGTGATTTGGGGTTTTAGAAAATCCTTATTGGTCTGTATTCAGTGAAACTTCAATTTGCTTGGCCATTTTTGGAATAAATGTGAGGTAGAAATGTGTTGCTCTACCTGACTTCCAAATCTCAGGGCAGTTTTGCTGACAGCACTGAGACATCCAGTTAAACAAATCACAGCTGAGAACTTCCCTCCTGGTCTCCTGAAGGTGTCCTGTCCTGGCTGACCTGGATATTGTTGGAATTGCTAAGCAATACACCCAGCTGGACCTCCCAGCTTTTGCCCTGGGCTGCCTCTTGGTCACTCCTCACTCTGAGAAGAGAGAGCAGCAAATTCAGGTAAATCAGTTTTGTGTCCTGTCACTGCAAGGGAAATGTCCTTAAGCATGTCCTGCTCACCAGGGCAGGCCAGAGGTGAATTCCAGTTTATTTCAACACATCCCTGCTGATAAATGCTCAACATCTCCACCCTCAAAGGCTTCTAAAGGGATCATGTGAACACTTCCTCCTTTTCTTTTAAAACTTCAGTCATCCACAGTAGCTTTGTCATCTGACTTTGCCTTTAGAGATCTTGAGGATGTTTTATGAGATCCCACCCATAAAGCACACGGGGGAAAAAACCCAGTAAAACCCAAGCCAGAGCACAGGTTAAGAAAAGCACTGAATCCTACTTTGGAAGGGTGTTGAGTTGAAAGCTCCTGGCTTCCAAGGAAGGTGTTTGATATGCACCAGCTCTGATAGAAACCTTCTGCCTTAAAGCCTTGTCCTCACCATTCATGAACCTTGACATTTCCCCTGCTCCTCTCATTTGTTTCCATTTATTTCTGCTCTGCATTGTTCTCCCAGATGAAGCATTAGAGGCTGTTCCCATATTTGTCACCAGTAAATTCTCTGACTTCCAGTCATTAAAGTTCTTCTCAGAAAGTTTTCCCCAAATCACAGCTGTAGTGTAAGACACTCAGCCTGCTGGCAATGAGTCAAAAAATCCTCTGACAGCTACAGCAAAACACCATTTGAGAGAGTTAAAAGCAACTTTCAGTCCAAGCACACAGATCCTGGTTTGATAATTCTGTATTTGCACCTAGAATTTCAAAAGGTTTCTGAATAAATCAAGCATTTGCTCTGAAGGGAGTGTTCCTGCTTTAATCAATCACAGAATAATAATGTTTTGTAACTTATTTTCACAAGGGTTTGTTATCAACCTGTAAGAAAGAAACTGTGCTGCAACAATTGGATGAACACATGGACACTGGAGAACTGGTAGCAGTTGCTTCCCAGGTAAATAAATCAAATTTACTTCACTTCCCTTTGACTTGGAGGCTTTTTTGATAGAAAAGTGTTCACAGAATCTTTTCTCTCTCCTCTGATCCTTATCCAGGCTTACCTGACTTTAAATGCTCAAAAAACGTAAAATACTTGTAAAATGCATTTTTATTTATGTTGTGCATCTGAGAAACTTCTTGTACATACCCAGTGCCACGTTCTGGGCTGTCCCTGTTTGGAGGGCAGCAGAACCACCCTGTTTTTCCTCAATAAATATTTGAGGCTAAAAGGCCAAAGGGTTTGGGAAACTGCACTTCTGCCTTGCCTTGGGCTGCCTCCCCATGGGCAAGTTTAACTCACTTCCCTCTATGAATCTGGGATCAGTTTTCATTAAATCTGCCATTTCACAGCACTTAAATAAAATGTAAAAAAAACAAACTCTATTCTTTATAGAGGCCAATATGAAAATTATGAGTTCTTTCCATTCAAAAGTAAAATCTCTTTTGTCTAAAATATTAACACTTCTCATTTCTAACACTTAAATCTACAGATCAGCTCTTTGGTTTTGGACAGTATCATCAATGAGAAGCTCTATGAACAGTTCTGGAAAACCAAATATTATCCACTGTTAAAGCAACACCTGATAAACACCCACAGAATAAAAGAGCTGGTGGATTATTTTGCCAAAAAGAACTGGTAAGTTAATAAATTGTAAAAAATCAGGTAGCAATTGCAGGAGTAAATCTCACCTTTATTTAATTTTCCTTCGTTTGAAGTCATGGAGGTTTTCTAATACTTAGTCTCTAAGGATTTTTAAGTATTGCTAAGTTAATAAAGAAATAAATTTCACCTCACTAGGACAGAGTTTTACAGCCATTCAAGACCAAGTAACAGATTGTTAAGCCTGGACCAGCAGCAGATCAAATGCAGTTAAAATAGAAGCAACCAGAGTGAAATAATCAAAACCTTGACCTTACCTTTAGGTGAATCCAGCTCAGGGGCATCACAGAGTCACAGCTTCAGCAATAAAAAAATTCAGAAAAAATTAAATGAGCTGCCTGTACTGAAGACTTGGGAATTGGTGGTTTTGCCACGAATTTTCAACAAGTAAAAGCCCTTCTTGTTCTCCACTTAAATCCCAAAAGGGGCTGGGTTGGGCCCCACTCACCTGGGGACTCACAGCACCTGGGCTCCTCTGGGGACTGCAGGGCACTGCTACCACTGATCCCCACTCAGACTGGGACAGGAACCAAGAAACATTTAAATTCTGTACTTATTGATTTTATTAACAGCCCCCAGGAAAAAGGCAGGCTTGCTCTCTCTACTGGGAAATGACAGGGCCCACCTGACTTCAAAGCTAGGGGATCATACTTTGGTGTTTTACTTCTGTTGTCTAAATTGTTGGCTTTTTAGAGAGCTTCATTTGACAAAGTTGATCAGCTTTTGCCTCTTACAGCCTTGACGATGCAACAGCCCTGATTCAAGAGTATCAAAAGCAATGTGGAAACCCTGCTCTGGCAGATGTCCCAGCATCTCATCTTCTGCAGGTAAAACAAACCTTCTCTGCACCTCAGGCACTATTTTCTCCTTTTTCTCTAAAGATTTTCACCCAACTTCTTGCAAAAATACTTTTTAGCTGATCTACTTTTGTAACATGTGTTGTATATAATAAAATATCCCTTCATTAATGCAAATAATTCATTTTACCTGAACCACATCTGTGTCCTGGATCACATCCCATTTTCCTAAGCCCTATTAGTGTTGTTCTTTGACCTTCCAGATGTACCTGAATGGATCAGAGGGGTCCTGTGTCCTGGAAGTGCCATAAATTAACTGAAGATTTCCCCTTTTCCCTCCTCCCTCTGCTGGCAGGAGGTTGGGCTGTGCATTCACAACTCTTGTACTGTCAGGAGAACATCAGACAAAACCCCCAAAGCTTTTCCCAAGAGCCTCCACAACCTCTCCACGTTTTCCAGCTGTTCCAGGCTGCTTCTCCTCCATTCTCCACCCCCACAAAACCAGTTCAGACTCACAGCAGAATTTCCTGTTTGGAGTCATCAGTTCATACTCAGCACTTTAACTTTTGGGAAGGAGTAAAGTTTATTTCCTTTACTTCTGTATTTCCTCATGTTCAGGCCTGCTGCCAGGAGCACTCTGAGGTGTCACCCACAGCAACAGAACCTTGTCACCACTGTGACAGACTTTTGTAAAACTGCAGGGGCTGTGGTTCATGTAAAATACTTTGTACACAAATTGTAAGTGTAACTTTACAAACTTATGTATCAGTTTTGGCCTTCCAGTATAAATAAATGTGTGTCAATTTTGGCCTTACAGTGTAAATTAAAAATAAATAAACTTATGCATCCATTTTGGCCCCTTACAATATTCTATAACCCTCTTAATTATGAGTTTGTCAATAAATGGATGTTCCAGTCAATGGAATTCCCTGAATCACATGCCAAGGTTTTCTTTTCAACTTTGCTCTGACTGCATGAAGTGCAATTAGCCAGAGGTTCTTGAGACACCAGCCTGAAATGTCTTTTTGTCCAGGGCAAAGCAGGTTTATTTTGAACAGAAATGAGTCATTCAGTCAGCTCATGCCACAGAAAGAAGGGTTCCAGCTGATGGAAGTGTCATAAACCAAAGGCCAAGGAAACTGCCCCCATCCTAAACATTCTGCTGGGGGAGACAAAAGATAAAAACCTGTTTTGTTGGAAAGTTACAGCAGTTGTGAGAAAGGGGAGCTGTTAAATACATTCAGGTGCCTGCAGCTGTGGGAACAGAGGAGCCACAAGGTGCTGCTCCTTGAACAACCCAGATTTATCTTCAGCAGCTTTAAGAGTCACATGGAATTACATCACTGAGAGTCTCTGCACATGGAGCAAAGAGCACAAAAAGTGGAGTGTCAGATGTGAGCCACAAATAAAGGAAACCTCTCCTCACTGGTTATAGATTGAATGAGATCATCATTCACGAAAGCACAGGGAGATTTGAAAGTGCTTTGATCAGAAAAAGACTCAAACTCTGCAGTGAAATTACAAGGTAACTGTAATCCTTTCAGAGTTTATCAAGCCATTTTACTCCTTGAACTTAGTTGAGGATGTTCAGTTGAGACAATTAAATATAAACTGGATTCTGGAGCAAACCCAGCCTGGTCCCAGAGCCCTCAATCTCTGTTCCAGCCCTGTCCAAGCATCCCTTGGAAGGGGAGCACCAAACCACCACAACTGCTGCATTCTTCCCCAACACCACCTCACCAAGCTCAGCTTTTCTATGAAGTGGAGTTTATTACAACATTAAGGAGCAGTATTTCGACAGTTATCTTAATGGAATATTTTACAAATCATACAGAGAAAAGCAAACACAAGGTTGTTTAAATTCATGACAAGAAGTTACATTGTTAAGCTGTTAGAGACAGTGCAGGGCTGTAAACGAGCAGTCAAGTTTTGGAACTTGCAGTTCAGAAGGAGATGGTAAAAATACCAGACAAGCAAAAACATTTTTTAGGATTTCTTGTACTCGATTCTTTCTACCTTCACATCATCTCCAATTAGTTGATAGACATATGTAACTACTGTAGAAGCCTGGATGTCCATCAGCACAAATGAGGGAATGATGTTGCTGGAAAAAGAGGAAAGAAGTCATAGTGATTGTGTGTCTATAACCCCCTTAGTGTTTTACCAATATTCAGCAGAAATCACTTCAAGAAAAATGAGAATTAATTCTGTAAGTACAGCACATGAGATCTGAGGCTGTGAGCATTTAATCTTTCAGTCCAGGAGACTGAGCAAGTACAACTGTGTGAGTTATACAACTCTAACTATCCTCTCCCTGACATTTAAATCAGAAATATTAACCCTCAGGAATTTGTAGTTCAGCTTTTTTACAAAAAACAAAACAAAACAAAAAAAAAATCCCCCCAACATTCACTTACTTCTCTAAGGCATGGTAGGCTCCTGTAGCTGATCCTGGGTTGATATAGAATTTATTTTCATGTTCAAATGCCTCAAATTTGTGTGTGTGTCCTGAAATGAGGATGTCCACATCAAACTGCCTCTGGAGCAGTGCCAGGCTGGCCATGTCACCCCAGGGGATCACCTGATGGCCATGAATCAGCCCAATTTTGAACTGTCCAACAGTCACAACTTTCTGCTCAGGATAATTCAGGTTCTAAACACAAAGAAAACAAACCAACCCCAGATTAGACAGATTTCTATTTAAACCCAACACCCAGAAGGGGAGACCTCAGGAACTCATTCCACCACTTTTACTTGAACGAACTCCAAATGTAAAAACCATAAAAAATACCCCAAAAAAAACCAGACACTACCTCATCAAAGTCCCCTCTGACAACATGAACATCCCCAGCCAGGGTCTTGAGGTAGTCATAGGTGTCCTTGGTGCAGAGGTTCCCTGTGCACAGGATGTGTTGGATCTTGCCAGGCACCAGCAGCTTTTTGAACTTGGCCGGGAGGCTGTTGCAGCGATGGGGGATGTGGAGGTCACCCAGCACCAGCACCAACTTCAGGGACAGAGGGGACACACAGGGTTAGGGCACAGCCAGCACTGCAGTGTCCCCTGCAGAGCCACACCCTGGCACTTGGACCCAAAAGCTGTGGCAGTGAGGATGGAATGGTGACGGGATTTTGTTCCGTGGGGAACGAGGGTCTTTGCCAGGCCACGAGCAGAGGGGGATTCACAAACAGCTCTGCAAGATTATTGTTTGTTGCTGAAGGCCAACAGAGCAATAGCTGCACTGTTAACACGTTCCTGTTGTATTTTACACAAATTTGGGAGCTGCCATAAACCACCCCACTGTTTTTTCTCTCTAACTTAAATCTTTTTCAAGCATAGACCTGGCTAACTAAACTGCAGCCACTTCTCTTAAATAAACTCTTCATCCAAGTTTCTCTCCCCTTACTAAAAAAAAAAACAAACCAAAACCCCAAAATATTTTTAAAAAGCAGCAAATTTACAACTTATGTTAATAGCTGACCAGAAGAGGAAGAGTGTTCAGAGTGGTAGAAACCACTGAAAAACTGAATAAGGCTAAAAAATAACAACAAAATACAAACAGGGCACTGCAGAGAAGCCAATCCAGGTCACTGCACAGTGCTCCTGTCACCACTCCTACACATTTACAATTTCAGATGCCAAAATAAAAATGTAGAGGGGGGGGGCTTCAAAATTAAGGCCTGAGATGGTGCAAGGCCTTGGCTTAACAGCACAGGCTTGAAATCTGCAAATAAAGCAATAATGCAAGCAACACAGGGCAAATTAATTGTGCAAAAAGGGCATGAGAAGCTTTACAAAGCAGGGAATGTTATGGCACTGCTCTGGGAAAACCCTGGATCTGGGGACACTCAGCCCTAGGAACTCAAAGAATGGCTCCAAATTAAAGAGATTTTTATCTTCCACTTCATGTTAGTGGGGCAGTTCCTAAAATGACACCCTCAAATGTAAAGGTAAAGGACACAGCCCAGATTTATTTCTAGAAACAAATATAACTAGGCTAGGAAATTGTATTTTTAAAGATTTTTTTCCCCTCATGGGATTTTAGGCCATGCAGTTACCTTCAGGCCAACAGTGCTCAATAAGGCAGAGGGAGCTTGAGAAGTATTTTTGATTGGTTTAGGGTTTTTTTTATATTAAGAACACCTCAGTTCCACCATCAAACCCATCTGGAGACAGATGGTTGAAAGTACTGCCAATGCAATAAAAAAGCTTTTTAATTAATGAGTGACCAATTTAAAATCAAACCAGAAGGGGAAAAAAAAATACATTTTTGATGGTCTTTGTGTGTAACAGTGATGTGGATTAATAAGTGGCAATAGCTGGATTGTCTCACTGCTGCCTGAGGGAGTTCAGTGTGCAGTACCAGTTATGTATTTGATGTTTAATAAAATGATCCTGCCCCTCACACACCCACCGAGCCAGCAGCGTGTGCTCTCAGCACAGAAATCCCCTTTGCTGACAAAACGCCAGCCCCACGCTTCCCCAAAATTCACATTTCAGCTCCCATTCGTTACAGAAGAGCTCAGCAAGCTGCAGGAACCAAACCACAGGAGCAGCACTGCAGGGTTTCATCACCACACGTTTCTAGAGCTTAAAGCAGTGGCGACAAATGCCAAAACACCTGGATTTTGGGAGTGATCTGAGGCGCGGGATGGCCAGCAGCCCCTGAATTCATCGGAGCCACCTGCCAGTGCCACGGAGGAACACGAGCGAGCCCTTCCCAGGGGTGTCAGCGAGAGCCAAGGAGTGACTTACTCTGTGCCCAGCCTGACGGGAATGAAGGAGTTGATTGCAGGGGATGAGAAACAGGGCGGAACATGATCAATGTTAAACGACAGGAAGCAACAGAAGAGAAAACACAGCCGAATGAACGGGCAAATAATAATTAATGAGTTGTCGATGTTATGAAAGAAGCGTTAAATAATTTAAAAAAAAAAATTATTAATGCGATTACGATAAAATTAAGACAAATTATAAACGGAGATCCTGCAGTCACGGCCCGGCCCTCACCGCCCTGGGGGCCTCGCCTCAGCTGGGGATCGCCCTCCCGCCCGCTCTGCCCCAGCCCGGCCGGGTCGGGCCCGGCTGCTGTGGCCGTGCCGGGGGTTCCGGTGTGCCCGGGGGGTGCCGGGGGGTCCCGGGGGCTCCGGGGTCTCCCCGCTCTCACCATCGCGCCCGCTCCGCTCCGGCCCTCCCGGAACCGCCCGTCGCCGCCCCCGCTACGGCGTCTGCGAAAGGACAACAGAGCGCCGAACGCGTCCGTGCCGCCTTCCGCTGGCTGGGTTTTTACGCAGTCAGGGTTTTACACAGGTGAAACGAGAGTTGTCCGCAAAACGAGCCGATAATGACGAGAGAGAGAGAGAGAGAGAAACAAACAAACAAACACTGATTATTTATTTCAGAGTCGCGCAAGCCTGGGCGCTCCGTGGTCTCCCACAAGCCAAGCGCCCCCGACTATCAATTATTTTTACTATTTATGCATTTTAGGAAACAAAAGAATTGGTGTTCATTGGCTAGAAGTTACATAGTTCTCTTATTAATTAGTATTCCATAGGTAATGACTCTCTTGCCTCCCATGATAATTAGTGCCATGCTCAGCCCTTTTCTTTTGGGTCGGGGGCGTTTCCCGGCTCTGTTCCTGGGCTGGGGCTGCCGAGGGCAGCTCCGATCTCTGCTCTGGGACAGGGACAGATCCAGGCTGGAGCTGTGTCAGGGGTTTAGGCTGGAGATCAGGGAAAGGTTCTCCCCAGAGGGTGCTGGGCACTGCCCAGGGAATGGGCACAGCCCTGAAGCTACCACAGCTCCAGGGGAGGCTGGACAGAGCCCTCAGGACCGCACAGGCTGGGATTGTTGGGGTGTCTGTGCAGGGCCGGGCGTTGGGCTGAAGATCCCTGCGGGTGACTCGGGACAACCGCTAATTCCACAATTCCATAATTCCGTAATTCCATATTTCCACAATTCCACAATCCCGGAGCTCCACATCCGGGGCTCGGCGCGGCGCGCGCCCCGCCCTCACGGCGTTTCCCGCCCTCCGCGGCCGTGAGGGGAGGGGGGGGGCGGCCGTGAGGGGAGAGAGGGGGCGGCCATGAAGTGCGTGATCGGGGGGGCGCAGCTCCGAGGTACCCGGCCCGGGGAGCCCGGCACACGCGGGGATTGCTGCGGGACACCGGGAACGCGGCACCCCCGGCAGGGCTCTGAGCGGAACACGAGCGCCGGGAGCGGGATCCGCCTCTCCCTCATGGCGGGCGTTGTGCGGGGCGTGCGCGGCTGCGGCTGGTTCAGCTGTGCGGGATCTGGGGACAGCCGGGGGGAGATGCCAGGGCCGGGCTGCGGGTCCCCTGTGCACCTCCAGGGGCACAGCTCCGCTCCTGGTGCGGCATTCTGTGCCAAAAGCTGCTCCGCCGCTGCCCGAGGCAGATCCGCAGGCCCTCTGCTGGGCCCTGCTGGCTTTCTTAGGATTCCACCTCTCCAGATGTCCCCTTATTCCCAGGCTTTCCATCTGCTAAATGTCATTTCTAGCCCCTGTGGTGGAGTTTTTGTCTCATTGATTTGATTTGTGGTAACTCCAGGTGTTGCAAAGGGACACGCAATGTCCGAGGTGCCTCGTCAGAGGCAGATTTCCAAAACATTGAGGGTTTGGATAATTAAAATATTAATTAAAAAGAAAAAGTAAGTTTCCACCATCCGTTTTCTTTCAAATATATAAGAAATTTTTAGTGTTTCCTCTTGGATTATTCTGGACAAAGTGCAGTGCCACCTTTTTATTTAATTTAGAATGCATATTGCAGTGTTTTCTTTCCCTGGCAGTGTTTGGAAGAGCAATACATGCCATAGCAAGGATTAGTGATGAATTTTGGTTTGACCCCGTAGAAAAAGGTGTAAGTGAATTTTATTTCTCCTAATTTAAAATTCTTTATTATAAGCCAAATATTTATACTATTGGATATTCTGTTTTTCTACAGGTACCTTTCAGTCCATCACATCACATTTCTGTGATTGTAATTATGCAGATTCCATCATGGAAGATTTCATTCCTACTCTGCCCTAAGATCCTTTGATTTTTTTGTTGTCCAGGACATCTGGATTAATGCCACGGGGTGCAGCTCTGTTGTCACAGGTCACAAGGTTTGAGTTTTGTACCACACAGGAGCTGCCTCTGAAAACAACATGTTTTGTACTGTTGTGACTCAACAGGAAGAACACATCCATTAATGCCTCTGATTAATCAAACACCATTTCCAGCAGAATTAGTGTTTTCTCCAGAGGTTTCTTAGGTAAAAGTGATCAGCTCTCCTTGGCTCACTGGGAGGATGGAAAATCACAAGGGCAGAGATTTATTTGGTTTTATACCTGAGGAATTTTTGAGGTGTCTTTGCTCATCTGTATGGATCATGCCCCTCAAATGCCTCAAACACAAGCTGAGCTCTGGGTGTTTGGGTAACTCAATTATTTTTATTTAAAGATTTTTAAATCAAAAATGCATCTTTAATTTTTTTTCATAATTTTGAGACGTAAATTTCCAGGTTTGCTGGTGGCACTGAAGCCCAGAGGAGGCTCTTTTTAAAAGGTTCAAGTTTTGAGTTAATAAATCATTTTATTTCTGTTCCCTCAGGGGTTGGATTCAGTGATGCTGGAGGTCTTTTCCAGCCCTAATGACTCTGTGATTCCATTTCCAGCTTGCCTTAAGATCAGTGAATTCCTCGAGGTCAGCATATGCATGTGTGTTCTTCTCATCCATGTTCTTCCAGCATTACTGCTGCACAGCTGCGCCCCAGCCCTGTCAGAAGGAGAAGCAGTTATCCCTCCCCTGTAAATTGATAATTAAGGTACATTTTAGTGAGTTGTTACACACAGCAGCAAATCAACCCAATTTCCAGCTGAAATTGTGGTGGGTGAGGATCAGCCTGGGCTCTCTGTGTCCCCAGAGCAGTTTGGGGAAACCCTAAGTGCAGCAGCTTGGGATAAACCAGGGTACAAACCCAGAGAAATTACATTTCTTGCAAAGCTGCTCAGGGAGCAAGCTCTGCACTGATTTTATTTTTTTTCCCAGTCAGTTCTCCCTGTGTTTAGATGTGTAAATGTGCTGGAAAGGAACGTAGAGAAATGCAGCATCTCCACCAGCCCCAGTGAGCAGCACGTCACCTTCCAGCTGCTCTGCAGGCACGGTAAGGTCACAGGGCAGTGAAACCACAGCACTTCATGCTGTTACCCACACAGGCCTGTCATCCTCAGCCCAGCAGCACTGGGAATGTCCATCAGCCTCTGCAAAATTCCTAAATGAACATCATCTCCCCGTGCCCCAGAGCTGTGCTGTGCTGCAGGTTTGTGTTGCCAATAATCCAGCTGGGGTTACTGGTTTGGGATAATACGTTGAATTAAGGTCTGCAGGCAGCTGAGCTCCCTTAGCACACCCCTGCCCAGAAGGGCAGAGATCTGGGGGGTTGTGCTCTGCATTCCACTCCCATTTGTATTATTTTACCAGTTAATTACTGGGGCTGCTTCCCACCCTGCATCTGTTGGTTTATTTCTTGTGGGTCCTTAAAAAACTCAGGTGCTGTCCAGGCACAACTGATGGGATGGAGGGAGTCCAAGATGGCAGGTGATTCCTTCCTTTTCCTCTTTGTGGTGACGTATTTCCATATAGCTGCACTAAGTCACTTGGTTACTTCCTCTATTGAACAATTAATATTAAAAAAAAAAAAAACACTTAACATTACAGCCAAGCACTGATTTTTGTTCATTTCCTTCATACTCAGGTGTTGTAAAAACCTATAACCTGACATTTCAGGAGTGTGATCCCTTGCAGGCTGTTTTTGCAAAGCACATGTGTCCAAACATTCTTAAAGTCCACTCCAGGTAACAAAGACAGAAATATTTTTTTTTAGTTTTACTTTCTAATGTAATAAATGCTAAACAGTCATAGATAGAAATATTTTAGTGTTGAATGACATTTTATAGGCTGCTGGCTGATGTGATGATCCACTTCCCAACCAGTCAGGAAGAAATAACCTTGTCAGTAACTCCAATGAAAGTTTGTTTCAAGAGTTACACTGAGGAAGACACTGGTAAGGAAATTCAAAATGTGAGCCAGTACTTGGGCTTTTAACTTTTTTTTTTTTTTTGAGGTGAATTCCAGGAATAATAACTGTCACGACATAAATGTGGGATGAATTTTATGGCTGGATGACATTTTTAACAGAACATTACAGAGAGAGATTTTAAGTCATGCTGCCACCCTCTGGTTTTAATAAATTAAATAAATTTAAATAAATTGAAACATCTTCCTGGTGTCAGTGGCAGATCTCAGACTGAGCAGCCAATTGAAATAAATTATGCCACTTGCTGTAGGCTTTGAAAGAGGTAATTACTGTGCTGCAAGAGCAGCAGCCTGGCAACTGCCAGGGAAAAGGGGATAATTTTATGTTTTAAAAAGAACTATTTAAATCTGAATACCACAATTATAGAATTGATATCATTAGACAGTATATTTCAGTCTGAGGACAGCACAGAGTGTCAGTAAGCCCTGCACTGTTCTGCCATGGTCACATCTCCAGGAGGTGGAGAACCAGCTGGAGATTCTTGGGATGTGACTCCAATTTTGAAGATGAAATTGTGGTTTTGAAGTAGAGGTTCTTGTGTATCATATAATAAAGAGATGCTTTTCATACTTGTTGTGACCAAAGCTGAGGAGAATGACCTGGGAAGAGCCCAGGGCTGGGAATTGGGCTGGGAACAGGCTAAGAGAAGGATCAAGGAGCAGAAAGTGGCTGGAGTGAAACAGGGCAGAAATTACTGAGAAGAAAGAGATTGCATTTTGAATGGCACATTTGGTGACTTTAGAAACATTCACTTACCAGGGCTATTGTAAGAAAGAAAGTGAAAAAATGGTAAATTGTAAAGAGACACCAAGAGCCCAGTGAGGGAAGGGAACGGGGCAGTGAGAGGAGCTGTGCCCGGTGAATCTCCCTGCCTGCAGCGGCCGGGGCTTCCGCAGAAATCGAACCCTCTGCCCACCCCTCGTGGCTCAGCCGCTGCTGCAGGGTGTGACAAACACCCCTGCCACAGCCACGAGGAGCTTCTTGCAAAGCCTGTTTGGGAGATAAAACAGAGAGCAGAGAAAGGGAAGAGTGGGAATAGCCTGGAGCACTTCCTTGGCAGCCCGGCCTGGCCGGGGAGCAGCTCGAGCTGCTGTGGAATTTCTCTGAGCTCTCCAGGACTGTCACACGCCAGGAAAGCTCCCTCTCACTCTCTCCTCACGCACCCATTGACAGCTCCGAGGAACCCCACGGTAACAAAAAACGGAGTACCTGAAAGTGAACAGCCAATTTCCTGCTGCCACTTTCCTGTGTCAGGAAAGGATTGTAATTTAAAACAAAGAGCCTCTGTCCACCTCCATTGTGCTCTGGTAATTGTCAGTAATTTTGATTAATCTCTTCAAGTCACGCTGCATTTTGGGCTTCCCATCCGTGCAACAATAGGCAGCTGGGAATATTATTTGTGATGGATGCCTGTGGAAGAAGCAGATCTACAAAAACAGCAGCAGGTGTTAGGTTAGCTCACACAGCAGAACATGGAACAGGTTCTGTTAAAATCCATTCAAATCTTTGCAATGTACTGCAAATAAATTGAGGATTTTACTTAATTCTAATATGTATATAAATGTATATATACATTTATCACTGTTAACCACTATAAAACCACGATTATTTGTTCAAACAATGCTTATGTAAAAGCCTCAGGGTTACAATTACAGTGTTGAGTTCAAACTTCACTGCCGTGAGCCCCTGACTTTGTTGTTATCTCAAACAGACTTTTCAAGGACAATGCTTACTGAGATACAGCTCAGTCCGGAGGAATTTGACTACTTTCAAGTTGGAGTAGATTCTGAAGTGACATTTTGCCTTAAGGAACTGAGGGTAAAGTAAGAATTTGTCTGGGAAGAAAACCCATTTCTCAATAATTTGCCTGACTGGACCAGGACAACACGGGGTGGTCCCTGTGGAGTGGCCCTGGGCTGTGCCCCAGCAGCCCTGACAGCAGCAGGGTTTTACCTGGGTGAGGATTGGCTTTAAACCCCAGGGTCCTTTGAAAGGCAAACAAAAGCCCTTCTGAAAGGGAGAAGAGGTTTCTGTGCTGGGCAGACACAGCACAGCTGCCCCAGGGAAAGCATCCTGACCAGGGAAGTTCTCCATGCAGAACCTCCTCTGGCAAGGCTCTGGCAGGGAAGGACAGAAATCATTCTTGGAAGCAGCAGACTTTTCCCCTCTTTTTGCCAGTAAACAGCAGCTGGGATGAACTCACATTGCAGTATCAGTGTTCTGGTTTAACAAGCACTTCACCCCCTCCTTCTCTGCAGGGCCTGCTGGCGTTTTCCGAAGCCACGAGCGTTCCTGTGTCCATCCACTTCGACAGATGTGGGAAGTACGTGTGGGAGCTGCCCTGGCTGGGGCCTGCAGTCCCCAGTGAACACTGAACTGCAGCTCCTCATCTCAAAGCCAAAGCCATTTCTAACCTGCACTCCAGAGTTTGTAATTCCAGATAAACACTGACCCCGGCTGTGGGCATTGCCAAGGCAGCTGTGCTGACTGATGAGCTCCTGTGTATAAATTACCTGGACACCTGAGGCTCTCAGTCCCCTGCAGGCAATGATTTATTTATTTAGCACTTTAAAGAAACAATACATTTACTGAATAAATATAATTTCAATAATTACATATTTAATGCTATCATTTGACTCGGACACAGCATTTGCTGATTGGAGCAGTGAGATCTGTAAGAGGAGCCCCTCTCTCATTCCTCAGCAGCAAATACAGGAGCTTTCCAGCTTTTCAGAGGATGTGCTTTTTAATTCCATAGGTGGAATCACAGGATCTGTAATTCCCTGTGCTGTTTGGTCTCAATTCTTGTGTTTAGACCCATTGCATTCAGCATTGAGGACCTGCTGCTGGAGGCCAGCTTTATCCTGGCTACCTTGTGTGAGGCTGAGAAGGAGGCAGCTCCCCCAGAGCCAGCCTGCTGCCCAGGGCCCTGGGACAGGTAAGAGGGGCTGAGGGGGCAGGTGGCCTTAAGAGGGTGAAAAACTCAGATTTTCACAGGAAAACTGTGAACTACAGGGGTTCAGGAACATCTCAGCAGCACAACAGCAATAAGAGGGTGCAAGAGAGAACGCTCTGTACAAGCTGCTGCTTTCTCCACGGGGTGTGGGTGCAGCAGGAGGGAAGCTGCTGAGAATTTCCTCTAAAGCTGTAATCTTTTCACAAACAGAAAGTAAGGATATTCCAATGAAACACAAAGCCAGCTCTGACCTGCCCTACTCTGTCCAATCCAGCTCAAGGACTGGCATGGATAAATCTGACCAGACCTCCATGGATGGAGCCAGCAACGCAGTCACAGCCGCTTCCAAAAAGCCACAGCAGAAGGGAAACACTCAGAGCACGGACCCTGCAAAACCCCCAAGTGGTCTGGCAAAACAAGAGGTAAAAAATATTCCCAGAGGCACAGAGAGGGATGTGCCAGGCAGAGCAGGAGCAGCCACGGCCCAGCCAGCCAGAGGAGAAGCCACAGAGGCTCCTTATGCCAAGGTGAGGAACTCCCCACGGTGCCAGCAGGGGAACCCCACAGCTGCTGTTTGGCTGAGCACCCCCACGTGCACTTGGGGGTTTCAGTGGGATCAGCTGTGACAGCAGCACAGCTGGAGAACCCCAGCACTGCTGGGAACACTCCTGGGGGCAGCTGGGTTTCACTGGGAAACGCTGCTGGCTGAGAAAGATCTTAAACTTCACAAATAATTAACGCCCCAATTCTGTATCACGGAATTCTTACCTGTACAAATATTGCATTTCCCAGTTCCACTCCTTGTTCTTTGGAGCTGTCTCTTCCAAGGAGAAGGAGGCCGTCGGTGACACCTTCCAGAGCTTGGTGACAGCCAGTGACACTGAGGAGGAGCCGGGTGCCTTGCAGAGCTCCCCGGTTCTGTAGTGCAGGGCAGGGCAGGCCCAGCCTTTGTCACTGGTGCTGTGACCCAGCAGCACAGAACGTTCTGGAACTGCCAGTGCTCCGGTCATGGCACAAATTTAGGTCACGATTGACTCCGTTGAGGTTTGTGTGTTCTGCAGGAGCTGCTGGGGGTTCTGCTCTCAGAACACTCTCACTGGAGACAGGCTCAGTTTGAATTCAAACTCTGTTACCACATCAGGTTAAGGGAGAACTCAGGTTTTTACAGGTTCTCTAGAACCAGCCTTTAACTGAAAAACCAAAGTTGTCACAGAACTGCATTTAAAAAAATAAAGGTTTGAGTTTCAGACTTGCATTACTCTTTTCCTTCCCGGAGTCTCTCCCCCCACAGGTCAGGGGCAGTGCAGTATTTCCAAAGTCACACTGGAATACAACACTGAAGTTCCCAGTCAATTAAAGGATGGTTATCTGTCTGCTGCAGAAGGCGTTGGGTGTCACTCAGGTGTGGCCCCGAGAGCCGTGCAGGGAGGTCACAGTGACAGCCCAGCCCTGGCTGTGCCTCTGTGCCACCAACCACATCCCCACATCAACAAACAGAGGGCTTGCAGGCAACTTGACTTTAAAAAGCACATTTTAGTATAAATACTATATTTATTAAATATCTTTACAATTTATTTAAATGTATTTACAGAACTATTCCTGCATAAGTTATACCTCAGACATGAAATTCACATAATTGCCTCTTGGGTAAGCATAGATGATAGTCTCATTTTAACAGCAACAAAAAAGCATCCTCAGATACAGACTCGGATTTGCTTCATTGTTTCAGCTATCTTTGTCAGAAACTACTGCATACAGTCGGCTCCTCCACACAGCAGCTGCTCCTCCCCTGGAGAAAGGATGTTCCATCACTAAATCCTCCCATCCCTGCCAGATCATCACCTCTCTCTTCTCCTCGACTCACTTGTAACTGCCTGGTCCCAAATCTGGTTTTTGGTTTGGTTTTGTTTTCAGCCTGAAAAGGACATTTAGGACTGTATGTGGCAGCTCTCCCAAAGATAGCCAGGAACACAGCAAGGAACCACAGAGCTCCTCCAGTTCACATCTTCGGCCTGTCCCACCCCGATCCCCACGGCCGCTGTGCGGCAATCCCAGGCTCCTGGGGGACGAAGCTCCTCCCGTTCCTCCAGATCCTGCTCCCAACACCAACCACAACCCTCTGCAGCAGCTCCAAGGCAGCTCGTGCTCAGCAAACACCTTTCTTGTACATTCCTCTGGTGAACGTTCCCGCTGACCTAACCCCTAGCAAGTGTTACTGCTTCATGCATCGCTGGGAATTATTTTTGATAGGATGGGCCCCGTCCTTTCCTTCTCCAAAGATCAGTTGTGCGCAGACAGCGTTAAGTTCATAGGAAAAAATCAGGTTTGATATGTTCAGAGTGCACATCTTAAAAAAAACCCAAAACAATCAAGCATGTGATAAAAATATCAATTCTTTATAATACAGTATTGCTTTATAAACAGATGGAAAAGCTAAAAGCTTTACTGGTCTTTGGTGTGCCCGGTGAGGGAAAAACTCATGATTTGTAAATCAAAAGCCAAATTTGTTCTTTATTTAAAAAAACCCAACAGGTCATGGTGTGATATGAGGCAAACGGCTTTGTGGACACAGACAGGGAGGAGCGGGAATTGGGGAATTCCAGACCCCTGACCCACACAGTCCCCAGGGAAAGCTCTGGAAAGCCAGGAAGGGGAACAGGGAGGGCTGGGGACTGTGCTGAGAGCAGAGAACAGCCCGGGGCCACTTGAAGGGAAGGGCAAAGGAAAAGAAGAATTGATCAAATCTGCTCTAATCCAGAAGCGTGCGAGTAAATACTGGATAAATGTAAAGACACCCAGAGTCGGGAGAGAAAGGCCCCTCCCAAACAAGAAACAAAGCCCTGTTCTGCATGTGAATACATTCCTCCAAGACAGCCAGAGACAGCTTGTTCAGGTTAAAAACAACAAGGACTGACAGGTTGTGCAAAGTTCTCCACCACTCACTGTTCGTGTGTCACAAAATTAATTAATTTTTCTTCATTAATATAATCCTCCCCATACCCTCACCAAAATCCTATTTTGGTCAAGTTAGGGTAGTTAAGGCATTTTGACAAGTAATTACAAGGTGATTTAAAGTAGATATCTAACATTATGCCAATTGAGGAATAGCAGATAAATTACTGAAGAGCTCCCAAATTAATCACTTATTATAAATGAAATGCCTGTTACAAGCATGATGCACTGAAATATAGTAAAATGACATGTACATGGTACATGTTAAATGACCTTAAATAAAAGCTTGACATTGTTACGTAAATATACAGTACAAGTCCACAAAAATTCTTTAAACAAGTTGAGGTAACCTCAAACTTAAACAGTTTTAATACAATAAACCAGGTAGTAAAAATCTCCTCTTGAGAGCAGGCAAGATTCCTTACTGACCAAGTTTAACTGCACTCACCTAAACAGCAACATTACCCGACTTTTTATATATAAAAACATGGCTTTAATTTATTTCTACATACTTCTCTACCAGCAAAAAAGTTAATGAAAAACTGACCAAAAATATATATATCTTTACAGCTCTCAGCTTTCGTATGAGCCTCAGGAAAGGAAAAGGAAAGCTGGCTGGAAAAGGGGGGACAAACGTGAGCTACTGTCATTGAAAAAGAAATGTCATATTGCAAAGTGGCTGTTAGGTAACTGTAAACATCATTAAGGATCATTGAAACCCCTAAACTTTAGTTAAAATGAAATGTAGGCTTTGCTGATTATTCATTAAGTTTCCATTTTCGTACTCGCTGCCGCTGCCGCAGCAGAAGCAAGGAGGTGCCTGTTGGAGTCAGAAAGGATCAACTGGACTTAAACTGGTGCAGCATATTCTGTTCTACAAGCGAGAGTGGCAATCATTAACACAGATTATGTTTTATATTAACAACAGAATCATCTACCCGAAGTGAAGACGCTCGGAGTTGAGGATGAGCTGTTTTGTGCAACCTCCCACCGTGGCATTTACCATCACCCCACGCTGAGATGGGTCCAAATGCTGAAAGACCTCAACTGTGGCCAGCTCGGCTGTTTGAGACTGAGCTAGAATTTTTGTTTTAAAAAAAAAAATTATCCACAGCCAAAACATCCAGAACCAGGCCCATTATGGACGAATGATCTGCAGAACTTTTAAGATCACAGTTAAGCACCTGAAATCACAAAACACATTTGCATCCATATAACTTGAACTAGGTTTGTTTGAAATCTCGTACTAGAAAAGGCTCCTAAGGCTGACACCATGGATGGCAAGAGCAGAATGTTTACAGCAGTTATAAATCTCCTGAAAACCGGAGCTCAGAAACACGAAACCTCGGCTATCACTGGAACAAGACTATGCTTTATGGAACTGGGTCTGTAACACACCCTCAACAACAGCGAACGTTCCTAGGAAAGAGAGTAATATGCCCTGGTGCAGAGGTGTTACCTACTGATCTAGTTTGAAAGGTGACCAACAAATCCCACTCCTTGGAAAGTCACATCTCCAACGCTGGGGGATGGATCCTCCCCTGTTCCGGACAAGGACTAAGCTCTCAAAGACAAGCTCCAAGCCTTGAGCTTCTTCATCTCTTGCTGGCAGACCAAGACCAGTGGACTACGAGTGGTTCTTAGCAAGGGCCTCAGCTGCGTCTCGGGCCAGGCTCCGGGCTCAGGGCTGGCTGCCCGGAGCAGCTGGGAAGGAAGGAACAATCCTGCCAGCAGGAAACCGGCCGGGGGGCCCGGGGAGCTCGGACAGCACCTCAGTCTGTGTACTCGGCTACGATGGAAAGGAGGACGGTGATGTCGTCTGGTTTCCCCCCTGCAATGGAAGCAAAAACCCCCTTATTTCATCAAACCACAGTGGGGTGTCTTCTGATGATCTGTGATATTCCCCGTGGAAAGCTCTGAAGTGTCCAAAACCTGGTTTGAGTAGACACAAACTCTGCCTCCCCACCTCCTGTCCAAAGCGAGGGGCGCGGTGACATTTAACACAGCACTAAACCACTCTCCTTTTAAGCTCCAGTGAGATCAAACCGTGAAAAGGAGGTCAGAACCTTGAACATTGCTGGTAGCTGGCACAGCTCAAAGCCTGTTTTCAGCAGACTCTTGAATAAATGCACAAAACACCTGACACTGCTTTGTTACATGTAAACTGCCATGAAATCAGATCTCCTCAGGAATTTCCATTGTAAATCAAACACCTCTTCAGCATCTTCTCCAGCACTGTATTACCTCGGGTCTTCCTGAAAGCTTCTTAACATTTTTAATAGTTATTTTTCAATCCTCAACTGCCAGAGCAACACACTCAAATCCTGGAGAAATGGCCCAGAAGAGAGGTTTTGTTATGTGGGATGTCAAACCAATCCCTTGGACTCTGGAAATCTGCAGCCTCACTACTGAGTGCCTGAACTTGGAGCAACACAGAGCCCAAGTGTGACAGCTGCTACCTGAGGAAGGGGCTTAAGGTTCTTGCAGGAAATCCTGCCCCTCTGATACAGAGATGAGAACATCTTTACTGGCAGAATTTGATTTACTTATTTATTTTGAAGTAAAAGATTGTTAAAAGAAAGGTGTTTGCTCGGGCTCTGAACTCTACCAGCTGTTTTGCCAGTACCTTTCTAAAACACAGAAGTAGAACCAACAGAGAGATCACTATGGGGATGCCAATTATATAAGAGTTGCAAATTTCAACCAAAAAACCAATTCCAAATCTACCAAAGAGTGGGCAGAACCTCAGCTGAAACACAGTAAGAAGAGACCTGAAAAAAAACCCGAAACAAAAAACTACCCTCACACAACACCACCCACACACCCGAATCCAAGCAACAAGTCATGTACAGGAGTACTGGAGAACTCATCTCAGGCAGGATTCCTGGGGCAGGAATGCACAGATTACAGTAAAAGGGAAACAATCAGGGCACTGTGTTCTCTGTGCTCCAGCTGCTTCCCCACAGGAGGCTCCTGCCCTGCTGGGCCCAGGATGCCCTGTGCAGGCCCTGGGGGCTTTGCCAAATCCCACACGAGCTTGGTGCTTCTCTGCCAACCACATCTCCTACTGTTCTGTTTTCCTCCAGGATTCTGGAACAGCAGAACTTCACTTTGCTAAAGATCTCTCCAAGACAGCAGCAGTGGGAGGAGGAGAAGCTCTTACCTCTGACATTCAGTCCATTGTCACAGGCAAACTGTGCAAAGGGTGACATGTACGTGGGGTCATAGGCCAGCTCGTGGGCTTGCTCAGCAATGCTCCGTGCAGTCTGCTGGATGCTCTCGTAGTTGGAGTTCTGAATTCATGAGGAAAAGAGTTTATTCTTGTACAGAAGCCTACAGAAGGTTTTGTGCTGATCTGTGTCAGGTTTGGAGATCCCTCACTGCAGAGTCATTAATTATCACCTTCCCTTGCAAACAGAGCCTTCCCCATTCTTTAGGCTTTGTAAATTGGGTTACAACTGTGGATGTTCACAAGGG